CTGACCCCGCAAATTTAAATTCAGCTTCCCCGTACCCGCGGATAACGCGTACGGCCCTGTGAAAGTTTTTTACAGGTAAGTTAATATCTCGGGGACCACGGAGTCTAGGAGGCTGAAATTTTGAGGTAATGACCCACTGCCCATGCTCAACCTTGCCCATTCAAAATCAGCCTTCCCTTGCCCACGGGTAACAAGTACGGCATCGTGAAAATTTTGACGGATAAACTATTAACTCGGGAATCACGGAAAGATAATCATCCTTCAAGGTTTCGAATTCAGCTTTCATAAGCTGGTGTGTGAAATTTTTAACTGTTTTTCAATGTTTGAACTATTTTTGCATAGACTAAAATACAAAGCAGTGAAAATCATTAGTAGGCAATCGTTCGATGGGCTGAATTGCACAAAACGTATGATCGCACCGGTTAGTCTGGTGCGTGTTGCCATTTATTCTATTCATGTCATCCAGTCGCTTTAGTAAGCAGACCACTCTGAAGAGTAACAGAATTTGGAATCAACGTCAGTGAGGGGAGGGGGAGTTAGGAAGAGGGGAAAAAGAAAGATATTCCTGGCAGTTATAATTCGCAGCGCCATTTCCAACTATGCAGTTTGCAACTTTCCCAGTTGCCATGGCCAATACTTCATAACACAGTTGGTCTAATGGCGATTCTGATGTTCGTTTCCTGACAGAAAAATAGAGGAAAACGCTAAGAAGGAAGCTGAAAAGAAAAGTACACCGGAAAATCGGCACGCACAATCCTTTTTCGTATCAGCCCGCAGAAGCCAAAATAACACCAATTACCAAAGGTCATGTTTCATGAAACAATGGAAGTGATTATAGAAGAAAGAACGAAGTCATCGATCATCGAAAATTTTCTTTCTAGCTTGTCTGGTCGTTAAAACTGCAAATGGCACATGCACACACACCTACATACTTACACACACACACGCACACACACACGCGCACACACACACACGCGCACACACACGCACACACACACACGCACACACACACACACACACATACATAAACTTGCACATCCACACATGTTCATCACTTGCCATCACCTGGGGCTCTTGATGAAATGCCGCTTATATGCTGTTTCAAAAAGGAGGAGAGTACGCTAGCATTTCGGCTGCTTGTGCAAACGAGGATGAGAAGGAGAGAACGGTCCAGTGCGAACAAAATGACAGTGAAATTCTTACGCTGCTATTGGAATCAGTTTCTTCTTTGAGCGCAGCATCGGCCGGCTCATTCAGTGAGCTTCGTCCCAACGAGTTCGCTCGTTTGCCCGAGTTTCGCACGATTGTATTCTGACTGGACGACTTGCCGATGGCTGTTTTTTTGGCCTTAGTGTCCACCGCACGCGATGCGCTCTGCTGCTGCTGTTGCTGCTTTCTGGTGACGTTT